TAAAAAAACTTATATAACTTAATAACTAAGCTTATTATAAAGTCTTATAATTAATATCTTGCAAATAAAGGTAATAATCATGACCATATCTATGACGCTTAATCGAAATGTATAAAGTGTTTGATTTTTGATACACACAGGCAAAACATTAGGCTCAAATGTCGAAGGTGAAGTCAAGGTCGGAAAGAGCGGTCACGGAAAAGTGGTCTTCCAGGCCTTGTCAAGGTCGGAAAGAGCACTCACGGAAAAGTGGTCTTCCAGCCCTTGAGCAAGGAAATCTCGGACCACAGATCGTACTTGTATAGTTCACAAAACTCAGAAAGTCAAGCAACAACCATCCCCTGTTGACTGGTCACATCCTCCAGGAGTTCTATGACATCCAAACAGCCCCATCCCTTACGGTCTGCAGGGATGACGTCCCAGGAAAGGAAAAGAACCATTGGGCCAGAAGAGTTGAAACTAAGCTAGGGTGGGGCCACAATGGGCAACCAAAGTTTTAGATAGAAATATATATTAACCCCGTGGTTAAATCATAAATCATACTAAGAGTTTCTCTGCCAGATGTTCATGAGTAAATAGATTTTCAAATTTCAATAGATGATCAACATAGACCCATTCTGAACCAAGGACCTAGGTGGCAATAATTTCACAATTTTATTAAAACATTGATTTCTTACTATAAACTTGCCATCAGTTTGACTTCTAGATGTCGAATGAAGATTGATTGATTTTATGTTGTTTAGCATTGATTGTATGTTGTTTTACGTTCCGTTCGGGAATTTACATATATATATATATAGAGAGAGAGAGAGAGAGGTCAATATATACCGGTGAAAGGCTTCAAATTTAAACCTTTACTCGGCACTCAGGGCCATTGAGCAGTGAGGGATCTTTATCCTACCGTGACACGGCCTCGGTTTTTAAGGTCTCATTCGAAGGAACCGCAACTTTCACTTCAAAGTGCCGAGAGCTTGGTGAAGGAACAGTTGCTACCTATTTTTTTTATCGACTTAGGTCATTCGCGGCCCAGGACCTTCCAAGACATAATGGATTTTCAACATATTTCAATATGAGTCCAATCCTGGGGCCCTGAATTTCATAATTTTGGCCTAGTGTTCATTGCTTATTAAATGATGTCAACATTTTGACTGCTTGATGTACAAAGAAGACATTTTGAAGATGGCATGTATTTATATCGTTTTCCTGTAGTGACCATACCCCTCAGGCTCCGGGCAAGAGTGGGAGAAACAATGAATTTCAAGACTTATGTTCCCCTTTACTCATAAATTCTATATACGAAAATATGTTGAAATTGGTTGAGAGGTTCCAGGGAAGGGAAAACAAATAGCAATAGGTAAACCGAGTGTTTCAGGTCACCTAAAAATGTAAAGGTCATGTAAGATCTTTGGGTTTTAAGCATAATGAAGGCTATACAATACATGGTCATGATCATTATATTATACATAGTCATAATCAATACATAGTCATGATCATTATACATAGTCATGATCATGATATTGGTATTTAGACTCGAAGCAAATCAAGATCACCGCGAGGTGAACCCTTAATTCTCGGCTTTATGGACAATTATGTTCAACATAGGATTCAACTTTTTTAGACCGAATTATAGAGATATTAAATAAATCTTATTAAACAATCTGGTGGAATACCCATTGGTACCAATTGCGCCCAGTTGTTAGCAGACCTATTTTTGTATTCATATGAAGCAAAATTTATTCAAAATCTTACACATGAGAAAAAGAAATCTCTTACTGTGGCCTTCAACTCGACATTTAGATATATATCGACGACGTATTATCAAATATCAATAGTTATTTGATTCGATACGCAAGAGTATGCTCTACGTAAGAACAATTTCTAAATTGAGGCAAGTTATTGACAAACTAATTGATGAGACAAGAATATCAACAGTCTCGTTTAAAGTCAGCATTTCCTAAGTTCTATGGTCGATACAATGACCTTGTCAGCAAAAACAATCTATCATATCGAAGTTATATGCTGACTGACGTTCTTCATACCAATTGTTAGGCCATTATTTACACAATGAACTGTCGAAGGATTTTTCCATTATTTACCGATCATGACAAGGAGCACACAGCGGGTGTGATCGGTCTGCAGGGGATGCTCACTCCTCCATGGCACCTGAGCCCACCTCTAAATTCTGAGGTCCGTGGTTGTTCTGTACCCGATTTGTATTGTTTTAATGGACTTTGAGCTTGAATACTGTTCGTTATCTCCATATTTCAGAAAGAAGAATAAGGGCAACAACAGAAAAAATTTTGACAGGAAGAAATAAGCACAATGATAGGACACATCGATATTTTGAAACCTTATGTGAGATCATTGTTACGCAGAAAGAGACTTGTAAAAAGAGAGCCGAGTGATTCTGGTGAGATAAAAATAATATTTATCAATAGAGTAGAGAAAATTAAAGGGAAAATTATTCAATCCCCGATCAAATGATCTTCAATTGTGTTTACTTACATAATTTGACACCCTTTATTCACCCTGGTTGATATATTCAGGCTGTTTCTACATGCCTTCAGAACCTCAAAATGAAGAACAGAAATTCATTAAAATACACTGACAAAGTCATCGTTCCTGGTATAAAATGAAATTAGAGAAAAGCCACATCTGGACTGCACTTGTCAGAAAAGTGATTGCAATTTTCAAGGTCATTGCTGTACTTGGAACTCTCTTTTTAGACAATTTGAAGGACAAAATATTCAGCCAGTAGTATACGTACCGACTACTTGTACCGACAATCTACAGACGCTGGATGTTGCTATTATTATATATAAGTGTATGCTGCACAGGTTTTCAAATGCTTAGATCCATAATGACCACTACAAATCTATCTGCAATCTTCAACTCTAAAAGCAATCTACACTTTATTGACACTTTCAGAAAAATGAGGTTAATTTTTTGATACTTGAATCTACACCATGTAATGTTGAACATGTATATGTGCACATATTTGATACTGGGTCAGCTGACAGGAGTGGTATTAAATATCCAATTTCTCACAAACCTTTGGATTGCTTAGTATCATGGGCATATCAAAATAACCTGCTTAGTTTGTAGATTCTACACACACCAAAATTATATTCATGTAATGCTGAAAACAAGAAATGTACCATTTGTTTTGTTAAAAATGCATTGCTTTTTTCGTGTTTAAATGTTACATTCTAATGGCTGTTAGATTGCACTACTGCATTTCATGTTATTATTAGATTAAGTACAGATTTTTTTTCTGATTAGGATAGAAAATGATATAGATTTACACTCTGAGCGGTGTTTTTTTAAAAGAATTATTCAAATACGCAGTTAAACGAAAATAAAATGAACCAAGCGTTCATAACTTTCAGTGTCCACACTGAACGCAATAAAAAAAGAGCTGTTAAAAAACATTAAATGCGTTTGAATGCACATTTAATAGAAAATAAATCAGTTTGATCCGTATTTTAAAGAAAAACAAATTGTCATTGCAATAAATGCGATGTGTAGTATTTAAAAGTGAAATTAGTCATAGCCTCTAAGTTGCGTGTCCACTTGTTATGAACGCTATACATGTAGCTGGAGAAGGAATGCCTTACGTACACGATCAAAAAATATGCCCTAGGTTGAACACATGTGTACACAAAGGCCGGTGACGTAGATCGCATATATGTAAACACAACCATGTGCTCAATGACGTGCGCTAAATAACAGTGTCCAAAGCCATCAAAGCCTGTGATGAACGGAAGCCAAGGTAAGAATTTTCTTTTTATGGGTTTAATGGGCATTTATTGTTTGAAATCAGTGGAAATAGCATAATCTTATCGTATTATGAACATTTATTCATCGATACAAGCAAGCGACAAGGATGTTTTAGAGAATTAAAGCCAGAAACGCTCTTGAAACGAAACAACACACACTATGCAGTATGTGTCCTTTTTATGAACAACAGTGCAATTTTAACTGTACGGAACATAATAACAGTTTCAGCATGCACAGGCTAAAAAATAAACGAAAGTTGTATTTGACACATGATCAAATGCTGATCTTAGTGCAAGTCAGAATACAAAAATTGGTTTAGGATTTTTAACATTGTTCATAACAGAGACAACTCGAACATGTTTTGGACATGTATCTAACGTTATGCACGAATAAGAAAGACCAAGTTTTCTGCTTAAATATTTGACCAGTGTAACACTCAGAAAATAAAACTAATTAAAATCTTTGAGACAACCAATATGAGTGAATTTTAATTTATTTAAGAATCCCAAGGTGTGGAAATTTTGAAAAGGTATTGTTCATAACAAGACCATGTAATGGATGCAGTTTCCAGAGTCCAAATTATGAACAAAAAAACTCTTGAATAGTTTGAGTCAGAATTATAATTCTTTAAATTTGCAATTTTATTTAGAAAAAAGATTAATATTATTAATAATAAAATGTTTATGAGCAGTAACAAACATGAAATAAAATGATTCAACAAAACCTGCATTTGTTCATCATATGGACACAAGTTGTATAAATTCTTTTGTAGTCTGTTGTTATGAACATCTAAATAAGTCTTTCAGAAGATAGATTTTAAAGATCTATTAAAAATATCGGAAGAATTTTACCTGACTGGAAGGTTTATGTTAAATAGAGGTTTTAATAATTTTAGAGCAGCATGTAGTGAAAAGTATATCAAGAACTAGGTTTGTTCATAACATGGACACTTTAAAATGAACAGTTGTTATGAACAATAATACTTGTAGAATAATTCATTTGAAGTTGTAAGTAATCCACTGTTTTTTAAACATTTAATTTTTTGAAAAGCTTTTAAAAATTAAGGGTACCAAAGTAAGTATAATTCATTTGAAATATAGAGAGTAAAATGCTGCTAACTGTTCATAACATTGACACTACAGGAAATAAATTTTATGCTCCATTATCACAAGGCTAAATTACATCTTTGTCTTACTATGTCATGCGTTATTTTTTAGATGATGGACTCTGTAGGAAAAAGGATGTGTCAGAGTCAGAAAATGACGGTAAAGTTTGTGGAGAAATCATCTGAAATGAAAAAAGCAAAGGATTATTCAAGGGAATACAGAGAAAGGCTTAAGTCCAATCCTGAACTCTACAAATTACACAGAGCAGCAGAAACATTACGAATTAAATTATACAGAGAAAAACATCAAAGTGAAGAAGCAAAACAAAGAAATAAAGAGCTTCAAAGGATCCGCCAGAAGAGGTACAGAGAAAGACTGAAGTTGCAGGGAAAAGCAGATAACCAAGAACCCGTAAAACTTGTGAAGAACAGCGCAAAAAGTGGAGGGAACAAAAAAGAATACAAAGAGCGCACATGAGCCGTCAAAAGAAAACAGCCATAAATGCTAAACGAAGAAAAGCTTATAAAGAACAGAAGTGTGGGACATCATCAGTATCCCCTACATCAGTGTCAGCAATGGAGTCTGAGATACAGTCAGGAGAAAAATCCAGCACATTTAGGGTGGCCAAATCTAGGCAGAAACAGAAGATTACATCATGCCTTAGTTCAATGCCGGACAATCCAATGCTAAAAGCAGCAGTTATAGAAGCAGCAATCAATCAGCAATCTCCACGAACAAAAACTTCAATAAACCAAAGACTTGGTGTGGCCAGCCCAAACTCAAAGGTCAAAAGAAAACTTGCGATGGAGGTTTCAGATTCATTTAGAGAAGCACTAAGTAGGTTGAAAAGTAAAAGAAAGAAGAGAGATATAAGAGAAAAACGTCTAATCGCCATGGCTTTAAAAACTAAAGGAAAGGCTATTCTGACATCACTTGGGATATCGAAAAAAACTCCAGAAGCGAGTAAATGAAGAGAGTGGAAAGGAGGGTTGGGAAGATGCAAGAAAGAAAAGGAAAGACATTTTGTCACATGAAGAAAAAAATAAAATTTTGAATGTCTATGACAATGCAAGCCGGGACATCCCAGATACAAGAGGAGCTGTCAAAGTGAATGGACATGTGCAGGGGTGCAAAATAATGGAAAATTCTTTGCGCGCAAGTTATGATAAGTATGCAAAAGAAGTAGACCATCCAGTGAGCTATGGAACCTTTGTGCGTCAAAAGCCCAAGAATGTGCTTCCTTTTACAAATCACAGGTTTAGAGAATGCTTGTGTGAATACTGTCTCAATATAGACTTGATATTGAAGTCAATCAACTCACTGTGTGCATCTGTTGGTAAAGATTGCCAAATAGCAGATAAATATGCTGCTTCCCAGTTAACACTCTGTCCAAAGGCAGATGGAGAGTACAAAAAGGCATGTCTGGATCGTTATTATGAAACTTGCGGGATACAGAGAGTTTCTGAACATCTTCAACCCATTCTTACAGCTCCTCACATATACTCTTCCGTGAAGTGGTGGCAGTGGGAGAAAGGGGAAAATCGTAAACTTACAAAAGTGAAGAAGGAAGGTCTTGTTGAGGACTTGGTTGAAATATTCAAAGTTAAGATAGAAACATTTTCAAAGCACCTCTTTAATGCCAGGTGGCAATATCATCAGTACAAAGTAGTATCAGGAAATCCTCCTCCTGGCACTGCTGTTTTCTGCATGGATTATGCAGAAAATTTCACCTGCAGAGCACAAGATGCACCTCAAGGGTTTCACTGGAACAATACACAGGTTACAATCCACTCTATTGTGGCATCATACAAATGCCGTAAGTGTACCGAGAACCCCAAGACTGTGACAGACTCAATGGTATTTATTAGTGATGACCTCACACATGACCACCATGGTGTGCAGCATTTTGTCAAAATTGGAATAAAAAAGCTACTGGAGGAAAGTGAGGGTAATATAACGCATGTTTTTCAGTTTTCTGATGGAGCCCCAACCCAATACAAGAACAAAATAAATTTTGCTAACTGTTCCTTTTCAGAAGAGGACTTTGGTGTGAAGATAGAAAAACATTTTTTCGGCAGTAGGCATGGGAAGGGACCATGTGACCGTGAAATTGGTGTACTGAAGAAGTGTGCGAAAAATGCAGTTGCTGCAGGATGTCAGGATATACTTGAACCCATGCAATTCTTTCAATACTGTACAGAAAATTTGAGTCTGCCAAAAGGGGGAGTTGACGAAGACCATACACATACAAAAAGACAGTTTTTCTATGTGAAAAAGACTGATGTTAATAGAAACTTGCCAGAAAGAACAAATGTGAAACAACTGAAGGACACTAGAAATTACCACTGTATCAGATCAGTACAGCCATTTGTTATCTCAGTGAGGGAGAGGAGTTGTTTCTGTGGGGGTTGCTTAGGTGAGGGCCCTTGTTTAAATGAAGACATCACTGGTCCATGGACTGTTGTAAATCTAAAAAAAAAAGGGAATCGACAGCACCATGAAGGTATACACGAAGAGGGTAGACGTGGTAGAGGTCGTGGAGTTGGACAGGGTGAGGGGAGACGTGGTCGAGGTTGTGGAGTTCAATAGGGTGAGGGTAGATGTGGTCGAGGTCGTGGAGTTCAACAGGGTGAGGGTAGACGTGGTCGAGGTCGTGGAGTTCAACAGGGTGAGGGTAGACGTGGTCAAGACCGTAGAGTTCAACAGGGTGAGGGGAGACGTGGTAGAGGTCGTGCAGTTCAACAGGGTGAGGGGAGACGTGGTCGAGGTCGTGGCAGAAACAGGCATAGCTCTTCAAGTAAACAGGCTTTATAAAAATTATGTATTTTCTTGGTTGACAAATGTGAACAAATTATTATTTAAGAAAAATCATTTAGTATTTAACACTGTTTTTCTTTGACAAACAGGCTCTTCCTCTATGGAGTCCTATGTAACAAGTGATGATGATGATAATGATGATGATGATAATGATGAAGGAGGTGATTTTGATGATCCTAATGGTTCCAAATCAGATGATGAGACCTCTCTACCTACTGGTGCTGTTGCAGGAAATGAAATTCATGTGCACGAGTAAGTAATTATCATACAGATGAAATTTATCACAATTTCAGATGACAGTAAAATCCAAAGATAAATTTTGAAATTGTGCCTTTGTGTTTTAAGCTTAAAGGATGAGGGTAGAAATATGCAATTGTTTATCAATATTTTTTTCATCAGTGACTGTGTAGAAGACAGTGAAGATGATACTTTGAAAGATATATCAGGCCTGACCACAATTATTGCAGAATTAGAAACAGTAAGTTGGCACATTGTTTTACCAAAGAAATTTCTCAAAATTACTGATACTTTAAAAATGATTTTACAATAATTCTCTTTGTTACCAAATTAAAAACCGGTGTAAGTATCAGATATTTATGATAGTGTAAATAAATCATCCTTATCATTTGTTTTAGGATGAGGCAGACAGATTATCACCTGTTTATTCAATGGAGTATTTAGCCATTCTAGAACAAACTGAGGAACTAGAAGTTGCAGTTAGTCAGGAGCTGCAGGTTATACAAGACCTAACCATTTTAGAGCAGTCTCAGGAAGCACTAGTCACTGAGAGTGAAGAGATCCAGACCATAGAGGGCCCAGCCATTATAAGTCAACCTGAGGAACCACAAGTTGCACTGAGTGAAAAGCCCCAGTCCATAGAGGGCCCAGCCATTATAGAGCAATCTATGGAACTGCAAGTGGCAATGAGTGAAGAGCCCCAGGTAGTAGTGGGTCCTGCCATTGTAGAGCAACCAGAGGATCCACAGTTCACAGTGAGTGAAGAAACACCTGTTATAGAGGGGCCAGCCATTGAGGAACCAGAGGATCCACAGGTTGCTGTGAGTCAGGAACCTCAGTTCTTTGAAGGCCCACAATCAGAGGAACTGCAAGCCATGCAGGAGCTTACAACCCAAGTCACTGAGGGTCAAGAAAGGTAATATGATACGATAATTTAATCAAACATAAAATTTCTTAAAACATGTAGATAATTTATTAGGCATAATGGTGGAATGATATCTATAATATCCTGGTTATTTAAGGTACAATGCTGGGCAATATGTACTTGTTGCCCATGGTCAATGTTCTTTGCCTGCTGTGGTGAGTAAAGAAGTGTTTCTGTTACATTTGTTGTTGATGAAATTTGTTTAGTTTATTGTTTCCTATTAATCTGGATTTAGACGTACATTTTAAAATTTATTTTTTTATAATATAGTTCACAATAATTTGTTGTAAATAGATAAGCTGAATAGTACAGGAAAGCTAAAAGTAAATTTCAACAGCTTAGCATTATGTTTTTTTTTCTTCAATATAGATCTTCCAAGATTTTTCACAGCAACAAATTACATGAATGTCTTTTGAAACTGCTTGATTCTGGATACTGTTTAGGTTTCTTCACATTTCAATTGCAACTTTGTACATTTTAGGTTCAAGAATGGCCCTTTGTTCAATTTTATTATCCTGCTAAAAATGGGTTGTGGACAGAAGGAGAAATCAGCCACACAGTTTTGTTTGAAGACATTAAAAAGACCCTTCTTCCCCCAGATCTTAGATTGCATGGTTCAAGGATCTATTTCTTGTTTCATGGTGAGCTTGAAAATACACTTTGAGACCAACAAATGTCAATTTGTTTGATCAAAACAGTGCATATAGTTATTTTTTTCTTTCTTTTCAGATTTGTAATTTGGATGAAGAATATCTTTTGAAATGTAATAAATTTATATAATTAAAATGATTTGTCTAGTGTTTTTGTGTCATTGACATACCAGGATTACTTTAAAGTCATTCATACATTGTTGTTGGTCACAAGCATGTTACTGCTCTAGAATTTCAATAAATCTCCTCTGCAGGCATGGTGATACAATTTCCAGTTAGTTGCTAATATGCATTTTAAAATACATTACCAGAATTACTGTGGAATATGTTATTACACAAGTAACATGCAACAGAAGGTGGTTGACAGTTTAAATGTGCATAAAGGAAACATCACTACCACTCCGACCTTTAAGTGTGTCTTAGTTATGAACAATGAAATGAACAATTTTTTTGCGATAAAATTGTCATTGACCAGTGAAAAGCTTAAAACTTTACATTAGAATATGTGGATGACAACACAGTATGTAATGATGTGCATGTTCAGCAGGAAACTTTAAGGAAATTTATTCAATGTAAACTTCTTAAACCGATAATGTTGTTCATAACAGTGTCTAAATTAAATCATTTCAGAATTGAATAGGGAGTTGAAATATGAAGAATTAGTTTGTGAACTGTTACCTATTACATAAAGAAGAAGAAAATGAAACTTTAACATTAAATCACAATTTTGTTTGCAATTTATCACAAACTGAAAGACACTTGTTATGAACAATTGAAAACTGCAAGTTGCATTTTCAACTCTTTGTCAAATGAAAACTATGAATACTCTAGGTCTGATTTTTCTGATTAAAAAGGTTGGATATCAGAACACCATAAATATACCCCAAAATTTCTGATTTAACAACTTTTATTTCTGAACATATTTGTAACATTCATGGGACCAGTATCAGATATGTGCACATATCATTTATCAGACAAGACTGCCCGTTCACTCTTCACAGGCAGGGTATTCACTCTACTTCAATATCGGGAGTATACATTTCAGTAATGGAGTGGTACAGAAATAACGAAATAACGCAATTTTAATTCTAATGCCGAATTCACCAGATTCTGATGCCGAATTCACCAAGTGCCGAATTCACTTTTTCTTTAGGTGCCGAATTTACCAGGTGCCGAAATCACTTGTACCCATTTTAATTATATCAGATATCAAAAGATGAAGAAAATTAGAAATGTTCGTGGGGATGTAAATTCAAGGGTAAAGTTGATCAACGAAAACCGCAAATATTTGTCACCAAAGAATAAAGATGATTTCACAGTAAAATGCGTTTGTTCCCTAACTTACCTTTTCTTAGTATATATAGATAAAAAGGATAAGATTAATTTAAAAAATAATTCCAACGCCTAATGTTTAACATGTACTCAAACATCTCAGGGAGAATGTTATCATTTAGAAACGTAGTTTTTAATGAGTAAGTTAAGAATTTTGACCAATATACTTTGGTATGTAAAATAATTTTTTTTCACAGAAAATATTGTTCATGGTGAGATTTAAAAATAATTTTGTAAAATTAAACAATATACAATGTAAATGTATTTTTTAGGGGGGGGGGGGGGGAATTATAAATCTTGAAACTGGTAAAGAATTTTTTTGAATACAATTACTTTCAGATATAGATGCTTTTTTTAACGTCAGATATTGTAATACATGTACCTTCAATATGCTCATACATGTAAGCTGTATGATGATCCATTGAGAAGGTCAAATAAAGTTGTGTAACGAATCAGATGATTCGTTAAACCGGTTGCGCGGCAAAGCTCCTAGATAGTTCCTCTCAAAAGTATTTGACTTCATACACAAATCTCTAACTTGTGAATACTTTCTTGAGAATATATGATCAACACTAGGAAATTTAAATGAAAATTTAATCGCCAAACATTTTTATTACTTCCTTTTTCCCCGATGTTATCATACGCATCATCATACTATATTTACATATGGTGTGATCTTTCTTCAAAATTCCTTTCACATAAATTTTAAATAAATATACATGAACTACATTGTACGAATGAGGAGTAATAATGCACACCGACAGCACACTACTATCAGCTAAATTGAGGAAGTTTGTCAATTTGTGTGTGTCTGAATGAAATAAATGATTAGTTGGAAAATAAATATAAGTAACGTACTTTAAGTTAAAGGTTTTGAGAAAATGGTATTTTTCACCGAGATATATTTTTCAATATTTACATTTCCAATGTCTTTGTCCGAGATAAAATTACAAATTTTAAAAATACTTTATTTCTACATAAATCTACTGGTTCATCGATAGGCGCGGTTAAAAAAAAAATCACGTGCGGGGCGGGACAAATAGAGACAGAAGCGGGGCTATTAGCACGGGAATTGCAGAATCAGGAGCACGTAAATATAAGGAATAACAGTCGGATTTTTTGGATTCATGACGATGATCAATCGATTGGCTTACGTGATAATTTTATGCATAAACGCCTTCGGCGTTTATGCAAATTATCACGCAAGCCACTCGATTGATCACATCATGAATCCAAAAAATTAGACAGTTATTCCTTAATAAAACGCTAATAAAATATATATGGGTGAAAAGTATGTGGTCACATCTTCAAGAACTTAAACATGTCTTAATTTTTTTTCTGCATAGAATTTTTAATGTTTAACGTTTACATTTATGGAGGATTTTTTTTTTTCAAAATCAATCTATGGTTGTTGTGTGGAGCTTTAAGATTGGTTACAGACTTTTCTATGACGGATTGCAACACGTGGGTGTTTAAGGGTGCAGCGTGACACCTCAAGTCCAGATCCGGTCCATTTTTTTTAATGAAAGGCACATATTTTTTACCTCCCGATGTAATGTAAAAGCCTGTATGATTCATTATGCTCATAGCTAAATCAGTAATTGTAACAAAATGTTTTAATTTAAAAGAAGTGAAATTGATTAACTTTAATCCAGATTAAGAGGTCCATTGGCCTTGACGGTCACCTGAGTATCATGAGTGCTGAGCATTTCTGGTTATGATTACTTTGGTCCCACTCAAAAAAGACATCCAAAATTCTTGACAAGAGAAAAAAGTACTGTACTTACTCCAGTTAAAATTACTGAAATTAGCAAAGAGAAAATGATTAATATCCACTCCAAAATTCCAGCAGAGCAGCGGGAGTTCAAGATCCTCATATTTGCAGAAATCTTCGAAGATAAAGTTATTCCAAGCTTACAAATTTTCCGATATGATGTTATTTTAACTCTTAGTAAAACACAGTAAAACAGCTCGGGTTGCACTGGAAAGAGTCATCAAGAAGGCAATAAATTAAGGTGCGAGAAATCATGATGTCAAAATTCCATCCTTTAAAGGCCTGTAGACCTTAACTCATTCAACATCTTTACTTGAAGAGCTGCATGTTGGATGGTCTGCCTTTTCTCACCAGTTTTATCCTGCAATCTTAAGAAAAATGAAAAAGCAGCTGCGTAAGTTGTTGAAATCTGTCATGTTTCCTTTAAAACATAACAGCTACTACACAAATTAAGAATGAATTTATTAAACATGAGGGTGTGATCAATGGGAAACTTGAACATAAAACAATCGGAGAACTATTTGAGTGGTACAAGGAGTATTGCATTTTGGAGCCAGTAATTATAAATGGTTTATATACCATAGATAGATACCATGTTAATCATTAGTCCTTGCCTCTTTATTTAAATTTTCATTGTATAGAATTAATTCGCATATCAATCGGTGGAGAGAGACTTATATAGGCAATGTCTGCTGCCCAATCCCTTTACGTTTCACTACTTAATAAATTAAAAAAAAAAATCGGTTTGAAATGACTACCATAACTTGACTGAAATGAGACATCCAATTGCTTAAAATCTGATCCTGAAGCAAACTGGACAATTAATAGATGAAGCTAGGTTTTAATAAAGGTAATGAACATTTTCAAAATCAATTACATTATTCATATTTTTTTTTAAATTACCTGCACTAAGTTGTTGCATCTGTTTAAATATGATTATCTAGGGATGATCAGGGTAAAGTTGATCCTTCAGTAATTAATTCTGGGAACTATTCTATATATTCAAAAACCACTGAAGCACAATTTTACCTGCCGGACTCTTGCTTCTGTTTTAGTGAAGTCTGGATGTAATCAGTGATCATTGTTTACAGTTAATAATTATCGTAGGTTATAATAAGCAAAGGGGAACAACTTCTCTCCAAGTAGAGTGAAAATTACCTATATTTTCATTATATGTTCTATACAAATCAACCCTAACACGAGAACCCCTAACCCAGAGGCCATGAATTTCAAAATTTTGGAAGAAGCACTCTAGCTTATAACCATGCACTAACCTTGTCTGCTAAACACACAGAAACAGAAAGGAAAAAATCGAAGAATTGATGCATTTTTCACTATACGATCAGTAAAGCCCCATCCTCACCAGGACCCCCGACCCAGGGGATATGAATTTCAATCTGGAAATAGCACTCTTGTCGCCAAACAAAAAAAAAAAAAAAAAAAACTAGTAGACATTTGTATGCACTTACCTTGTCTGCAAAATAGCTATGAGCAGGGGAAGATTTTCAAAGAATAAATAAATGTTCACTGTATGACCCATTCAACCCCTATTTAACACCAGAACCACTGACCTAGGTGCCATAAATTTCACAATTTTTGAAGCAGCACCATTGCTCATCATAACCATGCATTAACTTTATCTATTGAATATACAGAGGAGAGACAGGGTATTACGGGAAATATTCATATGAATATCTCATACCGTCCTGGGACGGTGGGAAATACTGGTTATTCCTGGGAAATACTGGTAGTTCCTAGAAAATAAAGTACAGCTTCTTGCTTCATAATTTTAATCATTTGTTGGGATGTAGACAGAAGTACACCTTGATAGCTATAATATCAAATCGGTCTTTGATTTTAAAAATGTTTTGGCTACCCAGTTATGCCTTAGGCATGTCCTTACAAAAAATCAGATCAAAGGTCATTCAAACTG